ACGTTTTGTTGACAAATTTAAAAGAGCCGGTCAAGTTGATAATGGACATGTCGTCATTTTTCGTGTAAAAGACTTTTGGTAGAACTTTTTTCGTCCTTCAAAAATATATACATTTATATTTCCTTTAAAAAGACATATTTTAAAATTTGAGAGTAATTTTTCAATAATTATTGAAAAATTATTGATCAATTATAATTGATCAGCTCTACATCAAAGAGAAAATAGACTTAGATGGTTTGGTCATGTTATGAGGAGAGAAGAATCGGAAGCCGTAAGAACTGTTGTAGAAATGAATGTTGAAGGAAAAAGAGGCAGAGGAAGACCAAATAAGAGATGGAAGGATGCTATTGAATGCGATATGAGGACAGCTGATGTGGGAGATTGTGTCAAGTGGAAGTTTAGGATAAGGGTGACCAACCCCAAGTAGTTGGGATTAAGGCGAGGAAGAAGAAAAAGAAGATTGGCTCTACATTACAAACAATTAATTTTACTATAAATATAAATAAATTTTGTATATACATTTTATATTTATAATTAAACATTGAAAAATTTACATATGCTAAAAAAATTAATAACGATCTCAGATTTTCAATTTTTTCTTTTAATAAAAGAGCTCAGCAACATTATTTTGGAAATATTATTTACGAAGACGAGAAAATTATTTTCCTCACTCAATGAGCGTTCAAACTAAATTAATTTAGTTTTTTAAACGTTCATTGCCACCAGCGTTTTTTTATTTAAATGCTGAATTTTTACAAGGCTAGCTCAGAAATATTCCAAAGGTACATTGAAAATCTCGTCGAAATCAATTGGTTTTTCACAAAGTTATGAGCTTTTCTTTTTGATGCCCGAATTTATTGCGTCATTTTACTACATAAAAACAATTTTTTTCCATTTTTCACTTATATTATTAGTATCTAGTAATCATCAGATGTTAATGCAAATTTGTATTGATGTATTTTATTCAATAAATTAATACAAATTTTAATTTAATTTCTTTTATTTGAAATTCTATATTATAGTAACACATTAAGTCTATAACCTTATAACACAATTTTATTTATATTGTTGATATTTATAATAGTATTAAATTGAAATGCTATTATAATATTGTGATTACCCAGGCATCAAATATCAACCGTATATTTATTACAATTTACTATGAGCCTTTCTAAATTTTACTTATTTTAATAATTAAATGTTTACTAAATTTTTGTTGTAGTGATTCTGAAATAATATTTTTTATGAAAAAAATCGTGACTAGCATAGCCGGGTTCTCTTTACGCGCTGTAGAATCCCAGCTAAGTAGAGCCTAGTATATATATATATATACATATTTTAATTAATCGGATATTTACCCTATGGTTGACTTCATTTATTGTTATACAATACACTCATACTTAATATGATTTGCATATTATTTGATTAAACAAAATCAATAATTGTACACATAAAATGATAATAATTCATGTAATGGTCTTTATTGGAGTTGAGTTATACATTTATATACTATTTTAAAACTATTTCAATAACTCTGCTTATGTTATTAAATTATGAGCGTTTAATAAATTTCTGTATTGGATGCATGTGTTGCATTATGAGTGTAAAATGGTTGTACTTAAAAAAAAGTCGATTTGAGAGAAAAAAAATTATTTGAGCTTTACTAAGTTAAATTTCTTTTATTTTTTAGTTTTAAATTCATATTATATATATAGATTTTAACTTTCAGTTAGAGTTGACACAAGTGATCAATTTTTATTATAAAACTATGTTGAGTTATATTGAAATATGAAGCAATATTGTACTGTTATTAATATTGAGTTGAATTTAAGTAGGTGACTTCTAATAGATGATAATTTTAATATTTTTCTTGACGAATTAGCATATAATTAGATAAAAAAATAAATAAAATTACAACAAAAATTGTTTAACATGCATTCATTTGCAACTGCTTAACTCAATTTATAAATTAATCATCCTGTTTGAAAAGAAAAATATAAATAATTTTATTTTGGAACCTGTATTTCCTTTATAATCAAAGGTACACCAGCAAGATACAAAAGAAAAAAACTACAATAAATTAAAATTCAACTGTATTACTTAGTCACGGAGTGTGCCTTTTTTCTGATGAACTATTTTTTATCTTTCAAACTTTTATAAAAGTAGAAATAATACATAATTCAGAAAAAAATAATACCTTCTCAGCTTCGCATCGAAGCTAATATTTGATTGACATCGCTTTATACAAAACAATTAATGGTGTACAAAATCCAAGAAAGTAATAATAGTTCGTATAAATCTCAATGAATATAGATTCTTCATAAAAAAATATTTTATTATTCATAAAATAACATTCCTGTTATATTAAAAGAATTTTTAGTTTTTTTTTTTATCAAAAACAGTTTTTGACATTGTATTATCTAATATGTTTATCTTGTCGTTCTTATACTTGTTCAATTAATGACTAACAACCGTACAAATAAACTGCACCGAAACACGTCAATTAATATCAATAAAAACTCTATGGGTAGTTTAGGAGTTTAGTATCTTGTAACTTAACTATAATTTAACTATTTAACAATTCTTTTGCTTTGTCGTATATCACATTATAACGCACAGCTCACACAGTTAAATATGAACGCGTAGATAAAACATTTAGATGATGGTAATTAACTAGTTTTTTGCAAAATGTGTTAATGTTTGTGTTTTATGATATTAACGATTAACTTTTTGTGAAGAAGACCATATTATAACATAGAAATAGAGATACAGTCTGATAAAAATAAACATCTAAAACATTGTGTTTTAATAGAACTAATAGTTCTATTGACCTTTACGATAGCATCAAAAAGTATCTATTTTTATAGTAAGGACATGAATAAAATTGAAACAAATCATTAAAATGCATCATCACTTGGTTATACTGTCTATGTGTCAACACGTACTTAAAAAAAAAAAAATGTATAAATAATGTTTTTACTAACGAATCTCTGTTTATATAAATAATAATTCGTCATCACGTTGTAGTGCTACTCATGAAAATAAAATGTAATTACAATTATTTTAACACTAATGATTTAAAAAAAAAAAGTACAGCGGCATTCAGAGTAGTAGAGTTAAGGTGTTTTTTTAGATTAGTATTAATTAATATCTAACAGTGATTAAAATCACTGTCGAAATTTCTTCGATGTGTATTATGCGTAACAATTAAAAATAATAATAATTATCATATTTACCAAAAGTTACTTGATTTATGACTTAAAAGGTTATTTACTCATAGAGGACAAGACACCGGAACGTTTTTTTTTTTTTTAATCATATATTATATTAATGAAGTTTTAATTTAAAATAATTTAGAATGATAATATTTCATTACCACAAGAAATCGAGATTACGGATTATTTTTGTGTTTTTATCCTAAAATACATTTTATTAGCATTAATATAATGGAGTTTTAGAGTCTAGTGTTAAAAAAAATGATACAATTTTTAAATTCCATAGTATTTAGGTTAATTATTAGATTTTTAAAATATTTATGATGTCAGCAAGACAAATGCTTGAAGTATCATCAATAAAAATATCGCGATAATCCATTTAGTTTTTAAAATGTTATTTCAACATAATGTGAAAATTATAAAAATATTGAATTTTTTATAACAACTGTAATTTTGGGGACATTACGAAATTTTAGGTGAATATTTTTAAATTATAAAGTTAATAGCTTCAACTAGATAGGGTTTGTCTCGTGTATAATACCAAAACAAAAAATAAATACGGAAGAGTAAAACCAATATCTTTGATTTGAAGCTAAAATCAATTGAACTATTTTCATTTAAAATTAAAAAAAATATTCTATATTTTGATAGTTATAGTTTTTTATAAAAATCATTGAATTGTATTTAAATTTACAAAAATGACATTACTGATTAGGCTTCATTAAAAGAGATATGTAAACAAAATCGTATGAATATAATTTGACTGCTATCTGCACGCTGTAATATATTGTCTGAACAAATACATGAATAATTGTGTAGTCCATACCTTTTGTAACTGTGCAGGTATGTTGAAGTTCTTCATTGTTTATGTAAAATGTACGTACTAACTAACATCTGGGTGTTAGAAACAAATATTAACTTAGCATGAATGATACAAGGTAAGCACACTGGTCAACAAATTAAAAAACTATACAGGTGAATAAAATTTGAGGACCAAAAATAAAATTTGAACTTATTTATCCATTGACTATTTTTTATTATTATTATTTTTTTTTAATAACCTTATAATTTATAATTTTAACAAATATAAAATTAACAATAGAGCTTGTCTTTTTTGTGAAACACCCGTTTTTTAATAATTTAAAGGTATAAAATCACAGCTTAACCAAAGAAATAGAGCAAATTTAGCATTTTTGAACTTCAACATATTTACATTATAGCTCTAAAAAGTTGATCTAACTTATTTATGCTACAAACAAGTATAAAAAATGTCATGTCCATCTTTACAAATGTAAAATGTCAATGCACAAATAATAATAGTAATAAAAACGTGACGGCCTTGTGTCCTCGTAATTTCAACGATAAAGTTTCTAATGTGCATACAATGACCAAAACGTCTACCATAAAATATTGTACACGTATATGAGTGAATACTAAAATTATATGTTATGCACACACGGAAATAACGCAGAAAATGCATGTCCATGAAGTCAACAGAGATAGTAGTTATTTTATTTTATTTTAAGGAACAGTATAGAATTGGTCTGTATGAAATTTCTACCCATTTGCATTTTTTAAATTGCATCTATAGATCATAGAACATTATTTTCTTGGATTACAAAAAGTGTGTACCATTGGGTATATATATACCTTCAATTTTCTTCAATTTAGATAGAAATTGCATACATTTTTTAATACATAGCGAATTAACCCAAACGTTTCAAAACATTTTTTTGGTAAAAAAGTTTACTAGAAAAAATACTAATTAAATTCTATTTATTTCAGATTTTCTGAGATGTACAAGTGAAATATAAAGGCAAATGCACTATAGGTAAAAATATAAATTCTTTATGTTAAAAATAATTAATGGTTTATTAAAATTTTCAATCACTTTGTTAATTTATGTTAATATTTTATTTATCATGTTATTTAAAAAATAACATTTTTAGTTCAGATATTTTTGTAAGATATATAAATGTTTAACTAACTTTTATTTCATATTTGTTGTAAAATAAAATTTTGTACGAGTTAATCGTTCGTTAATGTCAGTAACTATGTTGTCCCTAATACAAATAGCTGTAGCGTTTTGTAAATTGTTTTGATTTTTGATTTGCGTGTTAAAGTTTTAATTTGTATTTTACTAATGTACATGAATTCAAATGTTACGAAAAGGAAAAGGGTAATGGGTGTAGTTCGTGTTTTAATATTACTATTCTCTAAATAGTAATAAAATGTCAAAAACTTAGAGGCCACATTTTTATGACATGTTGTGCAAATTACAGCTGAAAGCTTTTTATTTTTGAATGAACTCGAAATATTGTTACATTTTCAATTTTATAAAAACTTGTAATGAATCATTGATGTTGTGATGAAATGTGAACATAGTTAGGGTTAGTTGACTTTGACTATGAACTGAGGGAATCAACTACCCTTGTTGATATTTTTGGAATATATATTGTTTTTCATATGACGTAAGACATAATGATCATTAAAAATCTTGGCGATCGGGTATGATCTCCGTGTAAAGACACGCCAGGGACGTATTATCTTATGTGATGGAACAATGAGTTTCGCCTCTCGTCTATATTCGTTCCTTTTCCATGTATTGTTCTGCCCATCGCTAAACTCATCTTTATTGTTTCAAGATGTTAAATTCTCCCGAGCCTGAGTTTAAATGGGATAAACCTTGTTGTTGCCACCTTCTTTAGCTTTAGGTATTAAAAGTTAATAAATAGTTTCCTCTCGAAATATAATGTGGTTTATCCCTTTTTGTTTCATTAAAAAATAATTTATATTTCACGCCTATTTAAAATAATATTTATTATTGGATAGGTGTAATGGTTGTTAAATAATTCATTATGCTTTATAATGAGTCCATTATTTTTACAATTTTTTACGTGATTTCTTTTTGTACTTCGTTTAGTTATAATCATTTAAGTATTTAGTCTCATAATACTAACGATAACAGAAATGTTTGAGAAGTAACTTGTAATTGTAAAAAACCCGATAATTATCCTATTAAGAAAAATAATTTTAAAAATCTTTAGGAATTTAAATTAGTCAAGTTTTTTTAAATCTTTGAAGTAAAAGTAAAATATTCTTATTTTCTTAATTACAAGTCTTGTGATTTATAAGTATACTACATAAATAAATATACAATATAAAAATTAAAATTTGTATGAAATTCATATTTAATATTTTTATTTTAATAACGAATCTCTAAATAGTACTTTGGAATATTAAAAATAACATAACACACCTTATTATTTCCATTCGTTATTTAAATATTTATAACTTTCGAAATAATGGGTCAAAAGCTGTTATTGACTATAAGATTTCCACCATTTACAAAAATGAGGGAAATTTTTTTAATTTTTGAGCGTTATGACTTTGACGTATCCTTGAAAAAAATCAGTTCACTGAGAGCTGAGAAAAAATAGCGACAGACACAAAAAATAAAAATAAACACATCATGGTAAAAATTAATACTATATCAGCTTCATATCGAAGCTAAAATATCGAATTTATGGTATTTAAAGCTACTTATAAAATATTATGAAAATTTATATTCTTTTCGCATTTTCTTTTAGAAACAAACATGCCTAGAACAAAGACACAATGAAAAAAGACAATAATAAAAACATATAACAATATATTATTTTGTTTGATTATTGGTTGATTTATATTATTCGTTGACTACTAATGGTTATTGGTGTTCCTAGTTATGAAATTGAAAATGAAATGTAATCAAATGACTTTTACACTAAATATTTTTATCTTCATTTACATATGGATGATGACTAGTTTGATTTAGATAGCTACCTTTTATTTGAATATAAACGTGTTAATTTATGTGAAACTTTTGTGTAGTTGTATTACAAAATTTATGGAGGCAAGTTTTTCTTTGAGTGTTTCGCATTCGAATATTGTAAAATTATTCGTGAATACTTTTAATGTAAATAAGGTATAAGTTAAGTGAATCGAAGTGATATAAAGGTAACATAATTTAAAAATATTTTTTTGTTTTATGAAAAATTTTCGATGTCTCAAGAATAGCGATATTTTTTTATAAGAATTATTTTTTTTTTAAACAATTTGATAATTAAGAATAACGATATTGTACTCATAATAATACAGTGGTGTACTTATGGGGCGAAGGCCTACGAGATCCAGACCCTTCATAAACACAAAACCTTAGTAGAAGAAAGATGAAATATATCACTACTCTACTTTTCTGGATCCCACATAAAAAATTTTTAAATACTCCACTGTAATGATATACAAATAATAGTTTATATTATAAGCTAAACTTAAGTATAAATATTCGCTAAATTTAATTGTAACATTTAAATGTATCTTGTTTTACAGATATTTTAATTGTATTTGCAAAATTATAAAAACAAAGCACCAAACATGTATATCAATATTATTTCTTGTTTCCTGAATTTATGTATTATTTTCTTCTGCTGTAAAAAGTTCGTATAAATTATGTAAAAAATATTCAAACTGAATACATCAAATAATTATTTTTTTACTGTTCTGAAATTCTCTATACCGTACAGCTTTATTGAAAGTTGCGTCCATATAAAACTAAACCGACAATGTTTGGTGGTATGAAAAAGTCTGCTTATAGAGTATATAATCGTAAAGAAAAACCATTTGGTTGAAAAACTATAATATATTATACTAAGCTTTATGTCAAGATTCGAAGATTAAGTGCTTCACATAGTGTGATATAGGATTACTAAATTTGTGTAGTTTTTGCGACGGGTGTGAAGTATCTTCTCATGTCATAAGAATAACAAGAAAATAGAATTCTCTATTTGATTTTTCTGCTATTTTACATCTTGCAATAAAACGTCTATTTCATTTGAAATTATTTTAGAATCTGCTATATTTTGACCAACAAAATCTACTGCGCATTCTAAAAACAATTATTCCTTTGGGGAAAAACATTTGAATCGAATTTTCACCACAAGTTTACCTTTTCTCGTTAAACCATCACGACAAACGTCAATTTCTTGTCCGTTATTGAACCAACGTGTTTTTACAGTGTTGACAAACGACCCTAAAACGTACGCGTATCCTGATTAAGTATTTCGTTGTTCACGCCACAGGGTCTTCGGAAAATTTATTTACCCATCAAATGATTTCCTTACATCATCTGTATAAACAAAATTGTTCGTACTACTCCCCAGGGAACCCTTGTTACCACGTTTTTTGTCACGCCTATCGACGGCTTACAAAGAATTACCTCGCGTCCGGCTTTATAAAGTGTGCAAGGCGATTTCTTTGGCACTTTGTCGTTATATTACATGTATGTTATATTGGCCTGATAAGAGAGCTTTTTTTATTATTTGTTATAATGGGGAAACTGGACACATCTGAATGTGGAGTAGATTTGATATGATTAAATAACACTAATTACACTGATAAATTAAGTGTGCGTAAAATAAATAAATTAAATGTTGAGTACAGTATCTGTATTTTAAGTAAACTTAATTTATCACTAAAACTACTTCTGGGTAATAATTTTTTAAATGTTTCATTTAAAACTGCTCAAAAATAAAATTTAATTTTTCTCCTATGAGATGTAGTAATTAATAGCTCCAATTAAATAAAATAATGATGAAACCTTCACTAGTAGACACACGCTTAATTTTAAATTATGTAATAAATTGTTTTATAAGTCAGGAGCTTTGTGATCTTTATCTTAAGTGGAATTATAAAAATTTTAGGTAAGTTTACATACAAATTTAAATTGTATATCACAATTTTTTCCTTTAAAAATTAAATTGTCTAGTAAAATTAAAAAAAAAATACGGCACTTTTAGGCCATAGTATAGAGTTTAACACTGAGTAGTAAATCTTTGAGTAGATTTGTTTTGATGAGCACTCTTTGCAATTCGTCAAATTTTCATCAGAAACTTATCTACATTATTATATTTCTTTTCTGTAAATTTTCATTGATATTCTATAAAAATGTATTTTAAATGAACAAAAATTTAATTATTTTTGACCTTTTTACATGGTGAAATTATTTTTATTTGTTTACTTATAAAAGATTGATTATCATGTGCGCAACTAAAAAAATTGCTAATCTCTATATTTTGTGTAGTTATATTTTATTTGTTGTTTCAAAATTATTATTATGCTTTGGCAACATTTTTGATCAATGAACCAAAAATTATTTGCCCTTAGCTTTTGTAAGTTTTTTACATAATATAAAATATATCAGTGGCAGTAGGGAAATGGCAGTTGTGGATTAATTCAACCGTTTGTCGAAGCTTAACGTACTTTTCCAAGTCACCGGTTTTATGAGGTCCATCGGGCCACAATAATTCAACTTTGTATTATTGAAACCACAAGCGAACTTCTCTATAGCAGCTACGTATAAATAATCCTTTAACTTTTTCTTACATCTACTACTATTTAATTCCATGATATTATCTTTTTAAACTAATATTTAATGATATTATAAAAATATATTTTGCAGTTTTTCTTTGTCAACTCTGTCAATTCATACAATTTGTCATTATTAGAAAATTATCATTTTTTCTGATTTTGTTACTGATCTCTTCTATTACTATATTTGTCAGGCATCTTTGTTTTTTTTTTACTAAATTATAAAAATACACGGAATATAGGAAAAACGGATTTGATTTTTATTTAAAGTATTGTTTAGATTTTTTTTATTGAATTACAAGTGTCTAGTAATAAAATAATCAAAATATTTTAATTTTCTTTTCATCTTGATACTGGATGTATTCATAAATTTATAAATATCATCATAGAGTAAGCTTCACGTAGTTAAATAATTTTTTTTAAATA